CACGGATACCCTGGCAGATTCAGGGGGCACAGCGCATTACAGGGGCCACAGTAGGGGCACGGATACCCTGGCAGATTCAGGGGGCACAGCGCATTACAGGGGCCACAGTAGGGGCACGGATACCCTGGCAGATTCAGGGGGCCCCGCACTTTACAGGGGCCACAGTAGGGGCACAGACACCCTGGCAGATTCAGGGAGTTCAGCACAAGGTGAAGGAGGCCCAGAATTTCTAGCCACGCCCCTGTACATACCCCCCACAAGCAAACTCCCAGTGATACACCAAGACTACACAGTAATAAAGCATAGTGTTTCTTTGGGGATTCTACTTTTCCACTTAAAGTGGAAATCAAAATTATTCCAAAAGGATTACAACCTCACATTTATTTAAATTGCTTTAATTGGATGGGGGTTCATTAGGATACAGGGGTGGGGGGGCTTGTCTGACAAAATATTTTTAAATGTAAGTGGATGCTTTCAGGTTGCCAATGGGAAGGAGCCAGATTGACACAGGCCTCTTGCTCCCACTGCCCTCGGGACACTGCCCCCTATGGGCTGCCTTGGAACACACAGTCACTTCTATTATAATGTCAAGCTCCTGTGAGGACCACTGATGATCTGAGGGGAATCCCAGCTGCGGGACCCCAGTTTTTCACATTTAATGGAAAAAGGAGGTAAATGGGGGCTTAATGCCTCTGTGAGAACATAAACAAACAGGGGCAGTGAGAAGCATGATGGTGGGGGGGGGATGGGGGGGGGCTGCATGCTGAAGGTCAGGGTTGGTCCTCCTGACCAAAGACCTTAAACTTCTACAACCCTACCATGAGTTGCATAATGAGGTGAAGAAATGTCTACCCGAGGTAATCTTATTAATTTCATGACAATTTTCATATCAATCAGAACAAACAACAATACAATTTTAATATTTAAATATTTTAACGACTATTATTTGAAATACCAGTGAAACAAAAGGCCTGAGCATGAATCTAACATCAATCTTTTTTGCCAATGTACTTAGATTTAATGCCAGTTTACAATGAATACTATTTAACTATTTACTTTTCACCTCTATTCAGACATATTGGATGCATATAGAAAGCTAGCTACATACGGTAAAGTGACAGCTAAAAATATTAAGAATTTTAAAAAGGAAAGGAATGCTGAAGCAATGTGTGGAAATGATTCACAATTCAGACGGGCTGTGACACAGAGCGCTGATGAATTCTGGGTAAGTAGCACATTGTAAATCACAACAATTTTTCATCAATTCTTCATACTGCACATACTCCACGAGTGTGCGGAAGAAGCACATATAACCTCATAAAAACTGTAGAAATGTCCATAAAACATGTTTATTATGATACTTAAGTGAAATTTCTTCCATTTTTTTGCTAGGTTTCAGAATCTCAGCAATTTTAACAATAAATAAAAGAGCTTTTATAATAACTACATGAGCCTCTTATCATGTGTTCAGAGAATTACGGTTATAATATAAGGCTGTCTTTTTAAATGATACACCCGTTTACATCATTACATCGTCACATTACGTGGCGAAGTGCAGACCACCTTGCTGGGATTACTGTCTAAAAACACTGATACGATCTAAACGATGTTCCGGAATCACACCGTGGCATTTTTTAAAAAAAAACAGTCGAGAATATAAATTCTACACTGTGATGACGCACCTGATTGTGAATGGAAATCTGAGGCCCTCTCTGAACGCATCTAGAAAGAAACCTGAAGAAGTGATTCCCCCAAAATGTGACCACTGGTTTATTTTTTTAATTTAGGTGTTTCATGGGAAAGGCAGAAGGAATAATTGGGAGACGGGGGATACACCGGTAAGGTAGGCACCGGTGACAGCGGTGGAAAGTCCTGCCGCCCTGCAGAGGTTACAGCTGGATGCCGCACGGTGCTGGTACTCTGACAAGAGCGAGGGGGAGGGGGCAGCGAGCCTCCGTAAGCACAAAATCCTCAGCCGGTTTGTGCCAGAGCTGGCAGGCGGCCGCTTCCCAGTATCACTGTGAGGAGTCTCCTAATAGCAACAGCCTACGCTTACTGTACTGGGAGTGGCCCAGTTTGAATCCGGCACCAGGAAGACTAATCTACTGGACACAAACTCAAGGACTGGTGTAGCTTGCAAAGCCGGGGGCACCTTCCAGAAATTAACCTCTATTACGGTGGCATTTGGTTATAGCATTTTTATGTTCGGTTAAATGATTTTAGTACTTGACCGCAATTGTAATTAAACATCTTTATTCAATGACTAACATCCTGTTTTTACCATACACACTATCGATGCCGGTTTCCTGATGACCCGTTTTGTTGACTCTGTGTGCATCACTCTGATCTAGTAAATAAATTTAAGAGTGAAAGTGTATTTCCCTGCGTCGCCGGGTCCGATGAAGGAAGCTCACCCTCTGCTTGTCAGGGTCCACATATCTGATGCCGAAGTAGTCCTTTTCCAGGAGGTTCAGGTGGTGACAGATGAGGTCAAACAGGTACTGGCCTTTAGCATCTCGCTGTGAGGGAAATAAAAGCGACAAGGAGAATAAAACAACAATAAAATTTAAATGCGTATTATACAACACAAACTCATGGCTAAATGCCATTTCAACATGGCGAAATGATGGGACAAGAATGTAACAGTGCCCTGGGGAAGCGGTAGATAGGATCTGGCAAGAAACAGATTAGAATTACATACAATAGAACAGTGTTTCCCAACCCAGTCCTTAGGGACCCCTAGACAGTCCACATTTTTGCTACCTCCCAGCTTCCTACCAGACAGTCCACATTTTTGCT